CTATTTATTAAAACAATGCCTTAAATTGGATTATGCAAATTATTTTTTGGACTTTATATAGAACTGGCTGTCGCCCGCGTCTCCGTCCGCGAGGATATATAAAAAAAATTAATTAGTGTAGCCTATGTGTTCTTTCAGACTATGTTCTATAGGTATGCCAAATTTAATCGAGATCCGTTCTGCCGTTCTAGAGATATCTCCAAACACCCATCCAAATTCGATAATAAATAGTATCCTATGCCTGTCTCCTTGCTCTAAGCTACCTCCTCACCTATTTTCAGGCATATCAGTAAAGCTGTTCTTGAGTTATAAATAGTGTAACTAACACGACTTTCTTTTATATGTATAGATTATTTATAAAGACTTTATAATTATAAACCGGAAAAAATGTAGACTTACGAACAAACAGACAAACATTGTGTTTACGTTATAAGCAACGCAAACACATCATGTTCGCAATTTTTTTACAGCATTACAGACAGTCAAATTGAATTGATTATATAGATAGATACTTGGCCAGCGTGGTTAACTATGGCCTAATCACCCTTAACATAGGGTAGGCTCCGAGCCCCTCGGTGGGGAGGTATAGTGAGCTGATGATGATGATGATGATATAGATAGATTGTTTTACTTAATCTTAATAGAATTAAATAAATAAATTATATCAAATAAAATAACATTCAACGTATCGTTTAAAATTCAAAACGAATTAAATTGTAAAACTAACAATAGGGAGAGATTAGTTACGAATTCAATTGTGCGAAAAATCCCCGTAGCGAGAGCCCGTGTGTCAACATGGACTACGTAGAGACCGGTTCATACTGGATTGTTTTTTAATTGGTTTTGGTTAAGTTTTTTAACATGAAAATGTTTTACAGTATAATTGTAATTAATTTTTTACGAGTTATTATAAAGGTTAACTTTATTTTGAATATGAATTTATTGCAAACAACGTATCTGTTTTGTCTCTGTAAATTTTCATATTTTTAGATTTAAATATGATAACTTGATTTGGAATTAATTGTTTAAATGAGAACGACATAATTTAAATATCTACACAATAAAAATATGATCCAATAAATTTTCAGAATAAAATGAAATGGAAAGACACTATGAAGAGATGTTTATTCTAGAAGCTTATATAGTCAAATCGAGATTCCCGTTTCGCGCTCGCCCGGGACTCGGGGGCGTTCAAAATGGCGATTAAATATTAACCGACGAATTAACTCCATGTCTTCAGCCGTCGACACCAATTAAGCGCACAAAGTAACAAAGTAAATAACGCCAGACTTCACCGATTAATTTTGTAGCAGCGTTACGGAATTTTAAGGCGCAGTTTGTTTAAAGGTTGCCGGATTTGCGCGACTTAGTTGTATTAATTAATTAAATATTACTCGTATTCTCGTGATTCCAATTATCTGATTTTTATCTCCTTTTGTCGTCTAATTGATGTATCAAGCGTGTTTATAACTTTACTAGTTGTCGCCCTCGATTCTGTCCGCAAGGAATTAAAAATAAAATTATTTAGTACTCATGTAAACATTTCCTTTTATAAATTAGTAAGATATATTTTCCCTGGTAAGAAAGAAAAAATATATTTTCAGCCAACTAATACAAAATATAAATAAACTACTATAGGGGCAATACTAATAATATTTATTAAAGAGAAAAGAAAGAATATTTGCAGTTTTTAAGTTTACAGCTCAAGTAATATTCAAAGAAAACAAACTGGCAGAAGAATACTATCAAATATTATTTCTGAACCACGAGATACAGAGATTTATTACAGTTAATCCAAAAATCTATTATAATAAGTCTTGGTTCCACATTTAAAAATGATGACCACAGAATAAAATTATTGCGCCCCAAACTTTTCTTGATACAGCCAAGCATAACAATCGTGTATCGTATATTACAAGAGGCCGCCAACTGGTACCTTATACAGATTAAATAGCATTCTGTGCCGGTCCTCAAAGGAACACTTGTATTGAATGCTCGAGGACGGATCTGATATTTGTCGGGTGACCAGCTTTATGACAGGATAATAAAGAAAATAATTCGTATTATTCAGCACAAAACAGAATTCTTGTTGAATATTTATGATCAAAATTTAACAATAATTACTCAATAATTATGATTCTGTATATCTTCAAACTCAATGGTAAAATATATTTACATTCCTTTGTAATGTTTCTATGTTTAAATTGATGGCTTACGCATCTCTGTCTCGTACGCTCTTACTTATTAAGGAAAAACTGTTTAGATAAGTTTATCAGTTCTAATTTCCATTGAATTAGATTATAAGTATATCAGTTTTGTGAAGACTTTTGTAGCATTCACAGCTCGGCTTTATTTTAAAAATTACGCGGCCGATTCGTACTTTGCCGTAGTGTTATAGGGCTGTAGTCAATCGTGTTTAATTTTTTTTAATCAATCATACAACAACAAATATTTTGGCAGACATTATCTCACACCCAAAAGTATGCCTTAAACTTTAATTTGATAAATATGAGTGCAAAATATTAATGAAAAAATTCTCTATGTAATCGAAATTCATATTTTTATAACTGAACATTTGGTTCTTTGAAACATATCAGATAAAGAAACAATCAAATAACAAGTATAAATCAAACAAAGATTATCCACACTCGATAAAAATCAAGGGCACCCTAGTCTACCCTAAGTTTGACCCAAACTACAAGTCCCCTTTAGTTACGGATTATCCGGTGTAGTGCACAACATGCTGTCAATGCGATGTTGTATCGGCGTTACATCGATTTAGGAAACTGTTTCGTGAATAGAGGAATGTTCAAACCTGTATAGTATTTACTATTAATTCTATTTTATTGTAAGTGGAGTGTCCTTAAACACTCATATATTACTAATATTATAAATGCGAATGTTTCATGAAAGTATGTCCAGAACAGCAACATGAGGCATAGATAAAGAACATAGTCTATTTATAAAGTTATTTTATGTAATTCGCGCGTAATTGAAAAGATGCATTTGTAATAATTCAATATTTCAGTATTTTTATTTTAAACCGTACACTTAGATACAATTAAACTAAAGTGGTGTTACCATATCATCCAGATTGTCTCTAAACAACGATTAGTTCCGAAACAAGTGTTGCATATGCGGCTATCATATCCCTACGGAGAATCCCTATGCCCCTCTACCTCACCCCCGCCCGGGGATAGACACCATATGGCCCTTGTAAGGGAGATATAATTACGACTGAATATTATAAAATATAACACACAGAATTGTTGACAGACCAAGCGTGAAATATATAATTAATTGCCAGAATCTTTTTTTGTAAAGGGATTAAAGTATGCACTTGAATAGATTTATTTGCGTATTTTTTATCAACTTTTTTTAAACGTAATTATTCTTTTGTTATTTCTTGAGAACATAAAATACCATAAAACTAAATAATATTAAAATTCTCGTGTCATTTCCTGCCCTCTTCCTCCTCATCCGAAACGGTGTGACCGATTTTTATTCACATATTTAGTAGGTCCGAGAATCGGCAATTATCAATTTTTTAATCTCGCGCGGAAGAAGTCGCGGGCAACTAATATTATAAATAAAAATGATGATGGAAAAGAAAAAGGTGCGAAGTCGGGCAAATGTTTCGAAACATAATTATATCATTATTTTAATTATCGGTTGCAATGCCCTATTCTTTAAGATAATTGATGATTTATCGATAAAAGACATCCCTAAGAGACGAGACATATGCAATCATTACGATAATGTTACATCATTTAACGTAATCAATTTGACGGCGCGCCCTGCTGAGGGTTAGAGGTTTGACCAATCGCGCCCTATCTCGATCACTAGTGATGTGACCCTATCGAACTGTATGATACACAGCCGAAACGACGTAACCGTAAGTTAAACTGGGATTTAACGATTACCAGATGACTTGTACTGTAAAGTTTTGTTTTCTTTCTAATCTAGATAAATAAATGAAAAAAATGAAAAATAGCATATCACTGTGTGTATCCACTGCCGACAGATAAACACATAAAGAAAACATCTGTGAATGATATGTCTAAGTTTAGATTAAAAAGATTTTTAGAGGTATTATTTAGTTTCTTGCATGTTTTATTTTTCTTTTATTAATATTTTATCGACACATTAATCTCGTCATTGTACACCACTAACAATCTGTTGGAAATGTCGCCACGAATTTAGTGGCGACCCCATGTTGTTTTAAAGCATTAGGGGTATGACTTTTCAAGTGGTGATTTATTAGTTTACAGTAGTTCTAAATTATTTTTTTATAAAAATCGTCAACCCTTTTATTTATTTTTGATACTTGTTCTTTTTGTAGTTCAAATGCTTTTCAAAAGTACAGAGTTGCCAATCTTTGTCATTATATAGTAGGTATTAACTTAAGAAGCATATTTTTAAAAATCGAAACTCAAAATTATACCAAATTTAATTACGTTAAATCCATTATAAATACTGGGAAACATATTAAAAGTTATAATAAGAAAATAATGAATATTAAAAAAAATATAAATATCAGTAGCCTTCTGAGTTTTTTTAATAATTCCTTTTTTATGTAGTAAATTCAAAAATTAATATTCGAACAACCTGCCAGCCCTACTTTTAGGGCGTCAGTCCATACATTACATCGCCCTTCGTCCCCAATTCACCCAATTGATATTCGATACACCAAATTCACACGCGTACTTTATTTGTACACAAATGATCGCTTTTGTTCTCATTTTCGCTTTGTGATTTTATTGCCACAAGTCAATGAAGCTTTTTCATAATAATTGCCTATTTTACTCACTCTTTACACAATTCGGCAAACGTTTGCCAAATGGTTGGCGTGACTGTCATTTTCGTAATGGTGTTATGCATTCCAATTTTTGATGATTTCTTGTAAGTCTATGTCTGATGAATGTATACTTGTAAATGTCAATTAGAAGTGTGGTTTCTATATTATAGTTTAACATTTCGGTAATTTAATCCGTTGCAGTATGGAGGCTACAAATCTAGCTCTGCCGCCGCGGGAATCTCTTAAGTCTCGTTCAGAAAATAAGGGATTACAATTAAGTGCCAAACCTAACCAAGTAAGTAACACAACACATACGAGAATTAAAATGATTTTTATTGTTATAGTTCCATACAAAAACAAGTGAAAGCGGCCCTTTAATTTGTCCTTTTAGGGCAGAAACTCTCTTTAATTATGTTGCTGGGTTCATACAGTTTAATTGACTCAACATTTTACATCAGTTTCACTGCCAATTTTTTCTTTTTCTAATACTTCAGTCTGCTCCTGAATAAAACAACGATATTCCTTTTCCAACAGGTTGGAACAGTACTACTATACGGCGTACCTATCGTCTCCTTAGTTATCGAAGGTGTGGAGCGACTGTGTCTCGCACAGATCTCTAACACCCTACTAAAGCAGTTCTCATACAACGAGATACATAACCGCCGCGTCGCACTCGGTATCACATGCGTGCAGTGTACTCCAGTACAACTGGAGATACTGCGAAGAGCTGGAGCCATGCCAGTGTCATCGCGACGATGTGGTACGTCACTAAGACTATTAATAAAGAAACATCGACATTATACCTATGAGTATTATAATCGATTTATACTTTGGACTTCAAAATCGGTGGAGTAATTTGGCCTAGGAGATAACACAATGGTATATACATAATAAGAAATACCTATTGCATAACATACCTCCCATCACTTAGGTGTTAAAGTTGGGTCTGATAGTTCAACTCATTTTTTTTTATATCATAATGTGGCAAACGAGCGAGAGGCCACCTGAAATCGCTGAAATAGCGAATTGACCGTTGCCCATAGACATACGCAATTGCATATGCGCTGCCTATCTTTAATCGATGGAAGAGAGGATGCACAGAAAGGAAATATCTTCCCTTCCCATGCATCCTCCCATCCGGAAAGTCCACTTCCACTTCTTATCCTTTCCTTACAAGAAAAAGGGTGGGAAGGGAAAGAGGACATTAGAACGAAGTACAATATAATACAATAGATTACGACTTATATTTATTTATTTATTAACTCTTAATGCTATCATAGTACATACTCGTAAAAAAAGACAATTAACTAATTTACAAAGCAAGGGCGGCATTATACTTATTTGCAAATACATTATTTTTGACAAAACAGACACAGATATCCTGTTAGTTGTTAAATAATGTCTCCTTTATCCTCCTGTGTGTAACAGGAATGATAACACGACGGGAGGCGGAACGTCTCTGCAAATCCTTCCTCGGAGACAATGCTCCGCCTAGGTTACCTGATGATTTTGCGTTTGCTGTTCACCACGAGTGTGCGTGGGGCTGTAGGGGTGCTTTTTTACCCGCCAGGTACGTTGAAAAATATTGTTCATTGCATAACTTGGTACAAAATTTCTTAATCGTTGCTCAATCTCTCAATCTGCATATTAGCAATCTGTCAAATTATATACATATAATCTAGGATACTCTGTTATCTTTATATCCTTGTATATCTAGATACAACTCATCACGGGCTAAATGCATCAAGTGTGCCTACTGCGGCCTGTTCTTCTCTCCCAACAAGTTCATCTTCCACTCGCACCGCGTGGGCCCCGGCGATAAGTACGTTCAGCCCGACGCCGCTAACTTCAACTCGTGGCGTCGACACATGAAGCTCAGTGGCAGCCCGCCTGATGAAGTGGTCCACGCGTGGGAAGACGTCAAGGCAATGTTCAACGGTGGGACTCGGAAGAGGATGCTGTCTGCTGCTAGGTAATTAACAAAATTATACCTGATATAGTTCAAGGAGTGGAGTGGGAATAAACAAATTGTAATAGCAAATTATTATTTTGCGAAATTTAAAAAAAATGATTTTTAACTACAGATTTTTTCTTTTGGATCCTTATTAGTTCTTCACGAGTTAGGTCATACGAGTGTTAATTTCTAAATCGCTACAATGAGTTCAGCTTTAATCGTGCTTCAGAAGGTTACCTGTTCGCAGACCGGAGCCCGAGGTAGAGGCAAAGCGGGCGCCGGCCAGCCCGCCCAGCGCCGCGCCCGTGCCGCGCCTCGCCGACTACGTATGGGGAGCGCGTCTTCCGTTGCCCTATATACCTTGGCTCAAACCCACGTTATGGACTCCTGGTATCGTAACTTACAATACTTCCGAAGATAATCACGTCTTCACGTCATTTTGTGAACTTTTGTGTAATTATTATGCTTTAACAGGTGCGTTAACAGCTCTGAGTGGTGTTGGTGCATTGGAAGAGCCGCGTGCCTTTCGTCCAGTTCGCTCACATCGTTTAGAATCACCACAGCTTTCTCCAACATCGCCACAACGTTCACCTGCTAGGTATAGTATCTCTTATCTTATCTATCTTGAGTTACCTTGTTTTTTGTCACATTTCTTGCGCACTGTAGTAAGTAATTGAACAGATGCGTTGTTTAAAATTACAGGGACATATTTTAATGAAAATATTGGCAGCATTAGCTGTATTAAATAACCTTGATTAAAATAATAAGTATATTATGGTTGTTATACGAACAGTAACAGCCATTTTCACTATCCGATAGGTCTCCATTAGCAACATCATCGCCCAGACGAAGCCGCTCCCCGCTTCGCTCACCACCACGCTCCCCGCTCCGCTCGCCTATATGCTCGTCGCCCGCCAGGTCGTCCAAGAGCGACAGAGACAGCGATGAAAGCGTAGACATCGAAACTACTGAAGAGGATCACGCGAAAGACGCAGTAAGTTTATTGTCTATCCTTTTCTAACGTTAAGATGGAACGAAGAGAAACTTGAAGTGGATTAATAGGGCTGTCAAAAATATGTTCTTACATATTAAATTTTGATTTTTTTGTACTAAAAATATTTTGAACAGTGAAGCAAAAATACTTTGGAATTATATACACGTATATCAATATTTACGGTTGAATGAAACTAGGAAATATGTGTAGTAGTAAAATGTCTTCCTTTGCGAAAATATAACAAAATCTAATCCAAACCACGTAAACGTTTTCCAAATGCAGGTCAATAGCTTAGCAATGAGTGGATCGTATTATCCAGTGGCGAAGTAAACTTCGTATTCAGGATAAGCGGTGCTCAGTTGAATCCAATTTACAAAGTTGCTAAGAAAAAAATCCAATCACAACCTCTGTAGCGAAACATTCGATACTTTATCTTTTTTTCTTACAACATAATTACCAAGATGTAGGAAGTAATATCCGAGCAAGGGATAAATATAATTGTTCAATCATAAAGCAAGATGTTCTGATTTTTCATCAACATCATCAACCTACCCTTATCCCTACGGAGGGTCGGCACAGTGTGTACTATTCCTCCATACATCTCTATCAATCCACTTTCTTATGCAACTCATATGAATATTATCCATTAAAAACAGTAATTTTATGCCACTAACTAAAGATTATAATTCACATAAAAATAAAACAATAAATTTTCCTTGTTGTAAGTACAAAGACGTTTCTCCCGATTCCGCGCCGCGCCGCCATTTTGTGGAAATCGTTCGCCGAACGCTTTGGCACGTCGTAAACTCTGTAATTACTGCCGGCGTGAATTCAAATGGACTTCATTTCGATTTTAAATAAGAGAAAATGTTTAATTTACTACCGATCCGATTCCCGGGGACCAATTAATTGGGGATTTCCATTCCGCGTTCGTGCTGAACGCTACGATTGGACTTTACGGTTTGTTGTATGCGGTTTACACGTATTTGCCCTCCTTTAAGTTCTATTGAATAAGCTGTTTTGATGTTTTTTTTTCGGTTTTTTCGCTACACCGCTGTTCATTGAAGGACTTCGATCATGTTACCTTATTAATCGTTGTTGACTTCATACGATGTTTTGTTATGGACAAATACGTGAAAATAATATCAAAAATTAATCCGTTTAGTTGTTATAACAATTGTATTTTCTTTGTTATAAATAATATAAGATATTACGGAGATAAAATGTATTTTTTGTCCGGACTGCTGTGATTTTTTATTATTATATTTGGATGTGACTCTGTATATTTCTGTAGCAGAAAAAGGGAAACGAGCAGTGGATCACCTAATAATATTTGATCCGCTGCAACTCCATAGGAACCGCAGATGCGTTACCGCCGTTTAAGGTGTACGCTCGTTTCTTAGGGACCCCTAAGTCGAAACTATTTAGAAGCGCTAAGGATAGAGTATTCCCAATATATGGCTAATACTAGACCCAATCAGACGCCATGCAATTTTTCCAAATTGAGTGCAATCAGGTTGCAAGTTTTACGAAATAACAATCTGGGAAATCTGCTTAAAAAATTTAAAATTATAACTAGCAGTTGTGTTATAATCATATTATTAGTATCTGAATTATATTTATAGGTTTATTAACAGGCTGCCTTTAAGAACCAATACCAAAGGGGCATTACGTTGTAAATACAGAGGCGACAGAGCCTCTCTAATGATTGACGCAGCCGGTAGTAATTAACGCGCCTCTAGGGCTTTCAATTTAATCCCTTCAAAGGAACAGTTAGGGTTGTCAACGCGAAGTTAAATTTTAAAATTTAATTACATGCAGTAACAATACTACTTTTTTAATTAATTTTACTAATTGAGCTTCTGTTTAACTTTATATATCCGAGACAAGTTTGTTTAATCATGGGTTTCTGAGACTAAAATCATGAGTGACAAAATGTCAATAATGACATTGATGATGAGTTTTAAACAGGGATTCTGGTCTCGGAAAACCACGGTAAATTATTCGCTTTAACTGATAGAAATTTATATTAGCAATTTTTGTCTCTTGTTTATCCCAACTATTTTAGATTTGGTGGTCTCGTTCTATAGCGAAAATGACTGAAAAGAATGATAATATTACATTTAATTTCAGTTCGTTTTTTAGAATAGAATAGTTTTAAATGGAATAAAATATTTGATTAAAAGAAATGACTTTTGCGTACATAGTAATAATAAATGCATTTATCATATTAATTAATCAGTCATCGCATTTCTGAATTGTCTATGAAAGATTAGGATTTATATCTGGGCACTACAATCGTTTAGGAGATTAAAATTGCAACGTACAAATCGGATCGAAGCGCGACGCCAGCGGCCAGTCTAGATTTAAAGCCGCTTACGATGCCTCGGGTGCCATCAGCATATTGCAGTACTGTTTTGATTTCTAGCCTTCCCATAATATTTACGAACACACGACACGATAAAGACATAGTGTGTTATTCTCATATAAGTTAACAAACCCTATTCGCCTAAAACTCTACAATACTCAATGATGTTAAATGTTTTCAAGCTAATAGAATCCTACGGTTAATCGTTAATTCTTCGTTCCAATTTCAAGGATGGATTAATCATCTTTCTTCTTACTAATATTATAAATGGGAATGTTTAGATGGATGGATATTTGTTTCAACGTAACTCTACAACGGCTTCACGGATCACGATGAAAATTGGCATAGAACATAGTCTGGAAGAACATATGAGCTACTGGGTAACATTGGGTTATTAAGTTATTATTTTAAATTCCGCGCGGACGGAGTCGCCGGCGACAGCTAGTAGATATAAAATGATAAAACCTCAAAAAGTATTTTTTGATACTTTTAACACTATGTATTTTTAGTTACAAACATGTTACGAATGGAAACAGAATAAAAAAATAAAGTATACTAACCTCAAAGCACTAAAGTAATGTTTACTTCACCATTAAAGTGATTACGGGATAGTCCTCCAAATACACGTGTCCTAACCAAACGAAGGCACGCGGCACCAATTCGGTTAAGTAAATCTTATTTACAAAATTAAAAGTTCACTTCATTATATATTGTTCAATGTACAACCATCTTTTTAATCCATTATATTCTGTGAACGTAAAAACATTGTTACGGATCTTTTGAACACTTTTACAAATAATCTTTAATTGTTTAAAAACTTTTTCCCAGAAAAATATTACTGAACTATTTAAATTATGACGCATTTGACCAATCGCTTTTAACTACACATTTGAATTTTGAATATAGATTAAAAAAATCACTTTTTTAATCACATCTTTTTTAGCGGCCAGTACGTTTGACTGCCAGCAACATTTAAACTTACAATGTATTTAAAGTTAACTTATTATTTCTTCTGTCATTCTATAAGAAAATGTGATAGTTAATATGTTTTTCTGCGATTTTTTGGGAGAGGCAACCCATAGTAAGTGTATACACGATAATACAACATTTTTAAGGACATTTAACCAAAATTTTAGAGAAATGTGGCCTTACCGCCCCGCCCAATCACTAAGACAAATCGACGTAATCCTCTAGACGAACATTAAAGGAATACACGCCGCAACGACACGTCGTAAATACTTCTCTACTTTGCTACCACGATAGGGTGACAATAATTTGTGAGTACAGAAGAAACCGCTTAATACAACACAAGGATAATGGCGACGAAAAAGGTAGATCCCGGCTGAAAGCTTTATGCGCAAAATTAGTTAATAAAGAATGACTTCAGTGTTTTTAATGTACTTAATAATATATTTAAACTATTGTTTAGTCGGGTAGGAAATTGTTTTTTTTTATGGTTTGGATGACGTATAAAATATAATCATAAAGCAAATGTAAAAGTACCAGCTTTAATTTGCACAGTAAAATGAGATCAATCGGAAGCAAACAGGATTGTCTTTACAAATGGCAGCAATCTGGTTACCCTTGTATAAATCTGTCTTTGCACGCGACTCACGTAGATAATAGATACTTTGAGCGTATCCCAAGCAAGCGATTCAATTGTATGTCTTGATGTTGGTATAAATCAGTGGACGACTGAGCACCGAACATTCCTCCGTCACGTACAACATTACGTTTATGGGGCTTGTTTAAAAAAGTTTACAAATGCTATTAGACGATTATGTCATTTATTTTATCTTATTAAGATTGTGTTTAGATAAATAAATAATAAACGATGTTATAAAAAATACTGGCATATAATTAAGAAACCAAAACATGTGAAGTATTAGTTTGTCCCGTTCTAATATAAAGATAATGAAAGGGTTGACAATATAATAAGCAACAGCAATAAATTCAGCATTATTTTTTGGGTAATTTAAGTAGGCACTTTTAGACTGGATTAGAATTGGAAGGTTACATTATATAATGATTAATTCTCATATAGAAGAGAGAATGTAAATTGTCACAAATGAATGCTTACAATAATGTCTAGATGCATTGTTCTGTATTAATATAGAATTCATCGGATTGTCCGTATGTGGAGCGTGTAATTAACTGCGCGTCTCACGCCCCAGCGGGACAGGTCCCTGGGGGTCAGGCGCGTATCATTTATATGCGAATAGTTTGCTCATTTAATTAACTATTCAATAAACAACAAAAGATTCTAACAACAATCAAGTTTAAAATTATTATTATATGCTGTAAGCTTTTTCTAAAATGTTCGATTTTTAAACTGGAGTTAGACATTTCCAGTCTGTATTTTTCTGGAAAAATGAAGAAGTATTTCTTCAAATTAATTAAAAACTAGATTTGAGAAATCAATAGAATATCATAATTAGGCAACATTCATATTTTTGGTTTATAAATTTTTAATGTTGCCATTTGAAAATGGAATAAAAGCTGTTTTATAACGAAGTGGAATATGAACAAGAAAATATTTGCTCTATTCATGTATCCGTCGACCATATGCCAACATTGTATATTTTCGCTATATGTCCGTCAAACTTAACACAATGGAAAAGCTCGAAACGCAATGAGCATTGTTTATATTTTCTTTGCATTTTCATACAAACAAACATTAAATCGTATAATAACATTGTATTTCACCAGCAAGAACATTTAGATGTTTATATTTCTTTTTCTTTCTTTTCTTTCTTTAATTTAAAATCTATACATAGACAATTATCTTTTATTTATTTTCGTTCCTTATAATATTTTTTATAAGGTGGCAAACGAACGAGCGGCTACCTGAAATAGCGAAGTGACCGTTGCCCATAGACATACGCAATTGCATATGCGATGCCTTTAATCGTCGGAGGAGAGGATGCACAGAGAGAAAATATTTTTCCTTCCCAGGCATCCT